TGACAACTTTTATTAATACAACTTTTTTAATTTACTTGTAAAAATTTAGACTTGTATTAAGAATGAAATTTTTTTTTTAGCTTCGAAAACATATAAAATCTTGAAAAGTTTAAAAAAATTTTTTATAATAAAAATTTTTAAACAAAATCTTTAAATTTTTATTATTCAGAAGATGGTGATTCTAATGTAGTGATTGGGTTGTCATTCTCCAAGTGACAGGTCTAAGGTTCAAATCTTACTTATGATAAAATTTTGAAATTATACTTGCATTATGATAACTGTCTCCTGTCAATTGGTTGGCCTCATGCAGCTGTAATCCAGGTACACCAAGTTAGGTCCTACTGATATTGAGAGCTTAGAGCATCTATGCAAAGTGTACTGTTATACATATATAGAGAAATGTATAACTGGTATTGCATAAGACTTCAGTGCAAATTTACGATAAGACCACCAGGCATAGAAGACTAAGAAACCAAGATGATAGAAACCTACTTGGAAATTCCTAAGTAAAGAGGTAGCATGAACTTTTAACAATACCATTGAACCAGTTGAAGCCCATGAAACATCTTAATAGGAACTAAAGATTAAAACTGGATAGCAAATATGTGTAGAGGAGCATATAACCAAACAGGCTGCTGGGTTTGCCAAAAAAAAAAGAATACAGAAGTATATCTTACCAGGCCATCTGAATTAGTAGTCTGGAATGAGACTGATAGTTCTGAGTTGCAGCTAGTAAGAAATAATGAAAAAGATGTCAAGAAGATAGGTACTGGAGTTCTAGTGAACTTTACAAAGGTAAAAATAGTATAATGTAGTAGTTAAACAAGTAACCTTTATGAATGCAAGTGTTAGGTAACTATAGTGTGTTGCATAAAACTAGGTCTATATGTATAGAATATAAAGACTCTAGTAAGTTTTCTGTCAAGAATAAAGTAGTTCTAAGAGTAATAACCAGTATCGGGAACTTGGATAGGTGGCACCTTGAGATATTCTCATAATACAAGGAAAACTGCATATGCAAAGGATTAAATAGGCAAGACTCCTAGTTGGCTTGCAGATATAGCAACTAGTATAGAACTTATATAGCAATATATAAGCAGACTACTTAAATTAGATACAAAAAGTACATGTATGGCTAGTTGTAACCTTCAATGTAAGGTAAGCTCCTAGTGGCATGCTGTGTTCTAACATACTTGAATAAAAATATTGTATCCTTAAGGCAGAGACTTCAACTATAAAAAAAAAAAGAATTTTATTACTCAAAGTTTATTATTAATTTTAAAAAAAAATTTTAATAAAGTTTGTAAAATATATTTTTAATAAAATATATATATATATTTTTTTTTTATAATTAAAGTCTCTATTTTGAAGATGTGATATTTTATTCAAGTTTTGTTAGAAAACAGGAGCCTTCAGAGGCTTTCTTACATTGAAGATTACAACTAGTTATATGTGTACTTTTGGTACCTAATTTAAGTAGTCTGCTTACACATTGCTATATAAGTTCTACACTAGTTGCTATACCTGCAAGCCAACTAGAAGTTTTGGCTATTTAAACCCTCTGCATATGCAATCCTCTTTGTATCACAAGAACATTTCAAGACTACACTCATTCAAGTTCCTAATGCTTATTGTTACTCTTAAGACTACTTTATCCTCAATAGAAAACTTACTAAAGCCTTTATATTTCACATATATAGACCTAGTTTTATGTAACATGCTATAGTTATTTAACACTTGTAATCACAGAAGTTACCTGTTTAACTGCTACATTACACTATTTCTACTCTTGTAAAGTTTACTAGAACTCCAGTACCTATCTTTTTAGCATCTTTTTCATCATCTCCTACTAGCCACAACTCAGAACCATCAGTCTTATTCCAGATTACCAATTCAGATGGCCTGGTATAGTATACTTATATATCCTTTTCCTCTGATGAATCTGGCAGCCTGGTTGGTTATGTGCTCCTCTATACATATTTAATATCCAGTTTTAATTGTCAGTTTCTATGAAGATGTTTCATGAGCTTTAACTAGTCTGATAATACTATTGAAAGTTCATGTTACCTCTTTACTTAGGAATTTCCAAGTAGGTTTTTGTTATCTCAGTTCCTTAGTATTTTATGCCCAATGGTCTTATCATGGGTTTGCACTAAAATCTTATGCAATACCAGTTATATATTTCTCTATGTACATGTAATGTTATACTTTACATAAATGCCCAAGCTCCTAATATTGGTAGGACCTAACTTGGTGTATCTGGGTAACAGCCACATGAGGCCAACTGATTGATAGGAGACAGTTGCTGTAATGTAGATATAATTTTCAAATTTTGTTGTAAGTGGAATTTGAACCTTAAACTTGCTACTTGGAGGATAACAACCTAACTACTATACTAGAATTGCTATTCTTTTCAATAAAATATTTTATAAATAAACTGTACTCTATATTATTAATAATTTATTATATTATAGGGTGTGGCAACCTAGTAAAGTGGTCAGGTTGTCAACTCTCCAAGTGGTAGGTTGGATGTTCAAATTCCATTAACGGTGAAAATTTAAATAATCATCTATGTAATATTTGTATTATGGCAACTGTTATTAATGATTGGATTAGAATACCTGTAATGGTAGTTATACCAGTATGACTGACAGGTCATGGGGCATCCATGCAATGTTGGAGTTACATGAAGGAATGCAAACTGACAAATTGGGCAATACAAACACTAGATAAGTTCTTGTGGCCATGTAAATCTGTTAAAATTGGATAACAAGAAGTCTATTTAGGAAGACCCAAATAGAAAGGTAGCTGGATCTTCAACAGCTCTACTGTAAAGGCTAGTTCAGTGAAACAGATACCCAGGTCTAGTACCCAGTCCTAGTAGCCAGACGGGCAAGAACCTCTAGATTGGAAGTCTTAGAGGTACCACCAACCAGGCTATCAGAACGAACTGAAGAAAAAGGATATCAGGCTAACCTAATATACTGATAGACTGGTCATAGTCCTATATGGGCTATTTGGATTGAAAGTTTGGTAAAAGAACAGAAGAAAAGGCAGAAGTATACTAAAGTACTGGGGTTATGCTGTGAAATAAATGCTGAAGTCTAAGTGAACTCACAAGGACATAGTGGTTTAATGGTTAGCTCTAACTGCAAGTGTTGATTCTATTATAGTGATACTTAGGTTAGCTGTAAAAATGGATACAGAAGGTTCTAGGGGGTTTACCTCAAGAATAAATTAGTCCTAAGGTTGAGGATAATGATCTGATACATCTAAGATGACTAGTAATGTTAACACAGGTTACAGGTTCAGAGGGTTTAAAGTAGAACATCCAAGCAGAGGTGTTTGATATAGCAATTAGTAGAAAACCTTCAGGTGGACTCCTTAAATAGGTAATATAGAAAAGTTACATGTATAGCCAATTAACACTCTCCTGTAGTGGTTTATTGAACCACAATACCAATAAGTGATTAATAAAAGTCAAAAGACCAAAAAGGTCACCTTAAAAAAAAAAAAAAAAAAAAAAAAAAAATATTAAATACAAAGTTACAAATCAATATGATTTTTACAAACTTGAAAAATGTTTATGTAACTTTGAATAATTATTCTGTTGAATTCTAAGTTAAAAATGAACAAACCAAGTAAATGTTATTTTGTTGAATTCTAAGTTAAGAATAAACAAACCAAGTAAACTATTAACCATTTGTTTTATAAATAAACTCAATTCATGCTCTTTTACTATTTCAGCTAACAAGCATAAAGATGATTACATTCATAAAATAAAGCCAATTTCTTATAATCCAACTTGTCAACTATTATGAATACATTCAAAGCATAAGATATAAAAATACTTCAATCTTGTGATTTTGAAATTCATGTTCATTTTAAAAGTGGGGATCGAGACATCATACATGGTAGCTTGAAGAAGCAAACACGTTAGACCACACAATGCTAATTTTTCGGTTTGCATCACATAATTACACCCTTGGTTCAAGAATTTTGTTAAATTTAATATGCATTATATGAGTTGGTTTTAAAAGTTTGTGATTATAAGCAAATGAGATTATAGAGAAAGTGACTATAGAGAGGTCTAACTGTAACTCTAAATAATGAACGATAACTCTAAAACGCCTATTTAATCACGAAATAAGATGCTACGTCATGATAGCAATTTTGACGATATAATTTGGCCCTTATTTAGAATAATTTTCAAATATCGGGCCTCTATCTGTAATTATTTTCATTTTGGGCCCTGATTTGTAATTATTTTTGTTTTGGGCCCTTATTTGTAAATTCACTTTTTTTTTATTCAAGATTTTATCTTTACCGTTTTAGTTGGGTTAATCAAAATTTCATGATTTAATCAGTTAAATGAAATGGGTAATTCCGTGATACACACGTTCTGGCCAACCCCATATGGCTAATAATTTTGATTGTTGATGCCGTTAATAGTTTTTCACGGCTTTTGTGCGTAGTATGCCTAAACAAATATGAAAAACAATGGACAATGAATCAGTAAATTGAAAATAGTATGGAATAAAATTATAGATATCGAGTTTACATACATGCATTTAACTGATATCGTTAATACATTTTCATTTTTAGCGAGCTAACAATATATTTATTAAATTCTAAACTTAGTAATATCTAATAAGTTCTAAAATCTAATAAAATTCGTAAATATTGGTTCAACGAAAAGAAATGTATCTAGTGATTTTATCATTATGTAATACGTGATCAGATAAATTTATAATTGTAAGGACTTTAAAAAAAGACTGGCTATTTATTTTATGATATAAATGTATATTTACAATTATATTAGAAATATATATACAATGGATGAATATTCTGTTTTTTTTTTAAATAAAATAATATTCTGAGTAATTAATATAAATAATTCAGATGGGCAGACTTTATGATCTATGAATTTATTTTAAATGTTATTAGAAGTAATGATTGTCCAGAAATCCCAACATGTTTTTATACGATCTCATAATCTTTTTGAGTATCTTGTTCGAACACCTCGGTTCGCACGTCAACAGTAATACGAATATTGCCAGTATCAATTCTAGAACCTTCTCCGACCTCTTCGGAAGACTCAGAAGGTTCCACTTTTGTTCCACTTTCTTCAGGTATCGAAGCTAATTTAGGAGGTACTTGTAAACTTGAAGTTTGTAAACCCGAAGTCGGTGAAGTGGGTAGATCAGAAGTTGGTAAACTTGAAGGTGGCAGACCTGGTATATTTGCTATAGGAAGGGTTGCCTCAGTAATTGGTGGCCTTGTGCGTGAGAAACTATCATCACGTAAGTATGAGGATGTTTTATAAGCTAGATTTTCAGGTGGGGCGTAGTAACACTTTTTAAAGAACATTACTGCAGTCTTTTGACTGCCGAATAGCAAGAAAACAATTATTCCACTAAATCCACCAAATTGTAAAAAAAAAAATTAGATATTTATTCAAATAAAAAAATTTGTATTCATTGATAATTGATAATACTTACATTAAAGATAAAGCATAATCATAGATTGTCAATAAGGTGGTGTCAACATTTGGTTGTGTAAAATAAGAAATTAGCCTTGGAATACTCGTGCAAACGAGAAACACGGTGAAACATACACCACAAAGCCAGAGCCTTATTGCGTGACCTAACCCAATTACAGTAATTCTAGTCTCTTTCCTGCGAAAAGATATCCATTTATCCAAAAGTATTTTGCTCGAAACAACTAAATAATATAAATGAGCACGATTAACATTAGGAAAAGTATAGGAGTAAAGAATCACGTGGAATAGGGAACAACTTACTGGTATAGATGAAAGTTAGTAATAATAATGGAGCAGACACAATCAGGTAGATAAAAATATGTAATCCAGTTTCAATAGGTCTACAAACAAGAGAAGAGGCTCTTGTACCAAAATTCGGTTCTTCAATATCAACAGCAAAAGAAAAAACGCTTAAGCATGCCGAGAAACACCATATGGAACATGAATAATACCAAAACCAATCTTTTTCAATTAGTATGTATTTTCTAATAGAACCATTATAAAGGCAAACAACCAATACCACAAAAAAGAAATGTAGAGGATAAAAGAAGAAAAAAGTAATTTTTTGTTGAACAATACAAATTGCTGAATGAGAGCCAATTGTTTTTAGGTCACTCCCATAGATTAAAAGTGAAGGAATGGAACCGAAAGTGCACCCCCAAGTAGCTATTAGTAACTGTATTAACGTAGCTTTAGTAAAATAATAAGGAGGATGAAATAAAAATATAATTAAACCAGATAATAAAATTAAGCTTATAAAATTTATTAATAAAAATATGATCTCAATTGCAGAATATAATGTCATTATGATATACGAAGAGAGTATATCACGCAAAGAAAGTCTTGATTTGTAAATTTAAATATTGATATTGATCCAACCTCCAAACGAAATCAAGTTCAGATCTAATTTAAAACCTGTTGAAGCTCTGAATCTATATAAGTACTGTAACTTGTTCAAAAATAAAAGAGTATGAAAACAAGATCTTGTAAAAAAAAAAAACGGTAGCGTTAGAAATTCATGGAATCCATTCATTTTATGAATATATCTGTGGCAATTAGGTGGCTAGTTATATATATGCTGATGAGTTTATCGAATATGGGAAATATCAGCGGACCAAAAATAACAATAGATTTTTTTTTTTGGTTAAAAATAAATTTGGGCAACTTTAACTTTACTAAAATTAGCAAAATCCTAGATGTAACGATCGATATTGTTCGGTAGTGAAGCTCCGATTTAACATTGGAAACGTTTAAGAAATTAATCATCGGAATTATTATTGTTATTATATTTTTTGGAAATACATAATGAATTGTGCCTTATAAACAAGACAATTTAGTTGATAAGAATCACATAGTATGTGTAATATAAGGTTGGAAGTTAAATTTATATCTTACTATCTGTTTTATTAGATTTCTGGATTTTAATCGGAACTTATGACCAAAAATTGTCTAAATTCATCTGTTTTGTATAACCATTAACATGTAATCTTATGCGTTATTTGGCCGTAGTTATGACGATTTAATTTCCCAGTTTTAGCATACAGATATTAATATTAAAGTTGATTACATTTCGTAATTTGAAACTCTACATGAAACATGCAGATATTCGTTATTCGTACATACTTAGAAGATCAGCATAATCTTCCATAGTCTTCCATAAAATCCGGTCAAATTTGCTAAGCGTTTCACCAGATTTTGAGCCATGCGACTTAATCCGGTATGAATTTAAAATTTTCGCCAAAGAAAAATTTGCGATTAGGGTTGCTATTAAATTAGTTTAGAAAGACGCCAAAATTTCGCAAGAAAAACTTTGTTAGTGCACAGAAGGCAGTTTCATAGGTGTTATGATCGTTTTTTGGTTTGTTTTGATTTTTTACGTTTCTCCTGATCTTGAAATTTGAAATTTTTTAGGGTAGTGATGCTAGGGTGGTTGCATGAATTAATGAAAAACATCAATATGGATTGATTCTATCGATATAAAAAGTATATCGATATTTTCCATATAATCGATTCATATGAATATCATACCATGAAACAATTTAACCGTTTACGGTTATTGTTATACTAGGAAGGTTAAATTTAATGTCCCATGTTATATTGTAATACAATAGGTTCCTTTATAATGATATCTTCATGATGATTTGTAAAAATCGAACAATTGTGTTTTCTTTAATGATATATATATTAATTTTTGAAATAAATTGTCGCTTGGTTTTGGAATAATATAGTTATACATATATGTATAGTCTAAAAGAATTTTAATCAATCAGGGTATAATCTAATTATAAGATTAAGAATATCTTTAAGATGCATAGCAAAATAATAGAATATACATCAGCAAAAATATTTACGTAAATTGTTAATTTAAAAAATTCATGAACGTATAAAGTAATACAATAACAGATACACAAATAAAAAAAAAATTGCGATTGGTGTAGATTAATTGAACTATGCCTAAGAGAATAAACAATGTAATTAAAGTACACGATGCACATATAACATATTTCCATCCGCTTAAGTGCAGAATGTAATAGCTTAAAATGATTTTACAAAAAGCATTGGATATGTTACAATTCATTAATGTTAGAATCACGATCTATTATTTTTTTTGGCTTAGCAACTTGGTGATAGGTCGTTAATTGTCGCATATTATGATAATTAAGTAATTTCTCTTTATGAAACTGCTTTTCATTATTTACTTCCGACAGTTATTTCACATTTAGCCGACGTCATGCAACTAATCAAATGTTAACTCTAACCCTATATGAAGTCGGTCAAATAAACTTTCGATGTAATGACTGTTGGTGAAGTGAACAGAACGACCGGGGTAAAATCGCCACCCAAAAAAGTTTCAAAAATCATGCGATATTGTCAATTCATCATAATATTTATTAAAATACTAACGTTAACATAATTGATTTAAAAAGTGATTTTTTTTTTTTTTTGATTCTTTAAAGTGAAAAGCGATCGTCAAAAGTATTCTAAAAATATATGTTGATTGCCGTAACCAAATTTCCATTAACAATAAACGAAAAAAGAAAGAAAATCGAAATAAAAATTTAAAAACTGATCAAGAAAATGCAATTGAACCAGAAAATCTTGTAGATTTTATTTTTAATGCTCTTCCGGAAGATTATAATTCTGATTATTTATTTGAATCCAGGACGCAGTAACAAAAAATCATTGAAGAAAACAAATAGTAAAAAATGGCTCGATAGTATTAATAAAAACTTTGTGGCATTGCAATAATCATTTTAAAAGGCAATGAAATACTTAGAAAAACCGTAATCATAATACTTTCTGGCTATTAGAGTTCCTATCCATTATTCGTTTATCCATTTATCTATTGGATATCCAGATTCGGATATCTGTTTTACTATTGATATCCGGATAACTATCCGAATAGAAATGGATAAATGGATAACGGATTTATCCGGATTGGAATTCTACTGTCTATAATAAAATATTACTTATTCGAAAATAAATAAAATGATTAATTCATTACTTATCGTTATTATTTGTAACGTAGTCTAAATTTTTTTGTTAAGTTACATGAATTTTTTAGTGCTCGATATATTTGTCACGTGATGTTTGAAACTTTTTTGGGTGGCCGGTCGAACAGAACCGAAAGTTTTCTAACCGTTTAATCCAGCAAGCATTAAAATAGTTCGGGTCCATGATCAATATAATTCGACCCAAACTATAGAAAAATTTTTAAGAGGTTAAACAGTTTCAATCTTTATTTTGTATGCTTTAAATAACTCGTAATTTCCATAAGCCTCGACCTAAATAGGGATGTTTAGTCTGTCTTGCAGCAATTGTAAGCCGACTTTGAGCAAGTTTTGTAAAAAAAAAAAAAAAAACAATTGGCAATCCTAACCGGTTTTCGATCAATAAATAATATTGTAGAACTTTTTTTATATTATAGTTTTCGAGTAACTTAGATGAGACCAGTTAAGAATCGACAGGTTAACTAAAGATCAGTTCAATTTTTTTGTTGCAAAATTTGCTCGAATCGCCCAACCTTAATATAATCTAAAACTTTGAAATTAATTTAATGCAAGAAAATGAATCTAGGTAGTATTTCGCAAAAAATATTTGAACGAAGGATGAAAGTTGAATTTTATAAAGGTTATCTGAACTAAGCTACATGTATAATTAATACATTATCGTTATCGTCAACAGGCTCCATTTGTCTCCCGCATGCACTTGTAACCAATAGCAGTCTTTCAAACCGTTTCATAAACCAGATCAATGCCCAGTCAGTTTGAGCACATTTTATGAAATGCTACTTTCATACTCACTAAAAATACTGGATCCGTTCAGATATTTTTTTGCAAACCTGGACAGATCAGGCAAAATGACCGACAAACCCGTCACTTTATTAACGTTAGGCTAAATGACCGACAAAACCTGACATTAGGGTCAAAGATTGTAAATGACCCAAATGAATAGTGATCGGTCATGAGTCATTGAGCGCGTGAGAGTGAAAACCCGTAAATTGCCATAATAAATGATTAAATACGGTTACTCTTATACACTCATTTAAACAATCAAAAGATTTATTGGAGTCTGGTTGGTGGATTTTAAGTGTAAAAATATTGCAAAATATCAATAACTATCGGTATAGTAATAAGTATGTGTACGAATTACTTTTAAATATTGATATGTAATGGTAATATTAAATTTATAGCCGTTTTTATAAATTCTGTTCAATAAGTTTGTGATTTCAATCATAATCAATATATATATCACTATTTATCTTTGCTAAATAACACTTTCATATTTGTTGGAAAATTGTTGACAAGTCGGATATTTCAGTTACAAC